CTGATATTGTATAGTTGCTGAATAAAATTGTTTTCTCAAATATTGTCTGAAACTGCAAGAACTTTCCGGCCAATCCAGTAGTATGGGATAACACTCGCACCACAATGCGTTAAGTCTAGGAGAGACGATTGCAGCACACCTAAAATATTACTCCTGCCAATCATTGGCTCACAAGCTCATAACTCATAAGCTACCCTTAAGGTCTCCTACAGACTTATTTGGTCGTTTCCGCCTAGGGAAGTGTGATTTGCGTGTGATGCCTGTTCCAAGAGGGCACCCCCTTCCTCTCTGTGCATCGTAACATATCTGTTGTTCCTTGTATCTGCCGCATGCCCTTTTTTTATTTAAATAAAAATTATTATACAATATAACACTCTTATTCCTTGAACCGAATAAGCTACTGTCGAGACAGCTGGCACCTTTTTGCATATACACATTGTAAATAAATCTCCGTAAAATTCCATTGAGAGCCTGGAATGAAGCCCTCTGATTTATTTTCGCAAAATGACATTTACGATACCATAAATTTATAGCCCCGCTTATTGTATAAGAAATGGTTGTTTAGGAGTTTGCAGGTACTATATCTGAGAAAATCTTCCAGAGAAACTTGCTATCTTTCAGTAACTTTCAATTGTAACTTTCAGCGAGAAAAGCCTGTCATCTCGCCTATGGGGTGATTTAATGTAATATAGGAAATCTATTTCACGTTGAATTTATGGAATGCCTCTTTCATGCTCGAAAAAATAAATTCCACATTACAAATGACGTTTATCTTTCCGGCGTGAAATTGGAACTACCAAGCCAACTAAAGGAATCTCATGCTCTAAGTAGGACAGGAAAGTTTTAGCCAATTTGTGGATTTTCTTTTTCATAGGTGCTCACTAGTATTTCCGAGTTCCACGCAATAGTTCTGCATTGTTCCTCGACGTTTCGTGCATTCACGGAGCGAAGATAACCCCGCCCATCTAGTGGTTTGCAAACTCCAGATACGGGAAATATCAGAACTGGGCAGAAATCCACACGCTTTGCAAAACGGGTGAGGTAGGAAGCAAGGGGTTAGTCATTGAAATGCTGCTTCCACCACCGCCAACACCCATTACCCTTCCACAAACGCCGACCTGTGAAACCTGCCTCAGAGGTGTTCTCCGGGAATGACGACTACTCTCTTCCGTCACTGCCGAAGTTTCTATTTGTCCGTATTCGAACCCTTGATTTCATGACCAGTGCCGTTTCATTTCAACAACTCTACCACCACTCCACTGTCCCCACGCGAATTCAGGAAGGTACTCAATTGGCACAACAATGTTGTGTCAACGTCGAGAAAAGGTTTTTTCAGGATTCAGGATTCAGGAGAGTTAGTGATATCGAGAGGCGATTTCGCCCATTTCGATATCACGTGTCGAGGTCTCTTCAACCTTTGCACAGATGATTGACTCACTTAGAGAATAATCAAAACAAGATGATAGGTTTCATGGCTTGTTGCTAACGAAACACATGGAAAGTCAAGATTTCTCCCACCCACCCATCAGTTTTGCCTGCCCATGAAAGCATCTAGTTTCTTCTTAAAGGTTGATGGCAATGTTGCCTCAATGTTGAAAAAAGGTTGATTTTTCAACTTTACATGTTGTCTCAACGTTGCCCCAATATTGAAATGAAACACAGTTCAACGGTGAAGAGGCGTTGCTGTGTAACGTTGTTTCAATATTGAATTGTCAACGTATGGGCATTATATTACTTCCTCCCTCATCAATAGTCTGAAACAGCGTTAATTAGCCGATGAGATTGAATTTAGATTCGATAACCCCACAGAGAGTACTCAAATGGTGCGATACAAGCAGTACTCCATTGAGTACAATCATCCCACGTAAAGGACCCCTCATATTTAATTTTATTTTTTTACTGAATCAGAATTCAAGTTGAGTACTAACATGACTCAACTCTCTCTGTTCAGTAAAGAACAACCTCACGGGCATGTTATTGTGCTCTATCCTCTACGAAAGAGCTCCAGTAAATGCAAGCTCAATATCCTTACATCTCCTGTGGAGATTTTGGAACACTGAACTTGTCTCCCAGGACCCACTGGCCAGAAGTACCAGAGTCTCCTTCTGCCTGATTACTTCCTTAAATATGTCTATTTAGAAATTCCTTTACCTTCTCTTATGTTGTAAATGGGAACTGGGAACGGGTACCGTGTGAAAAATGCAGGGTACTGTTTATTTCAGGGCATCGGGATAAGAATCGCCGAATCGGCAGTTAGGCGCCATCTCGCGTCGATTCGTAGAACCTTTTTTCTGTCGATATGATGTGGATAACTCCACGTAGAAACAACATTGAGAATACGATGAAAAACGAATTTCCTCCTAATAGCCTCTGAACGACTTCCCTAATTCACGAGTAGTCACCAATTGTTGAAAGTACTGTTAATTACGAATAGCTAGTATTTTATGGATGTTGATTTTTCGCCGAATTCTCAACTTCAACCAAGTCTCAACGTTTCACCCTTTTCTCAAATGTCGACACAACGTTGTTGTGCCGAATGGGTACATATTAACACTCTTACACTCCGCATTCTTGGTCAAAGCCTCCAGAAGCGCCCACCAATGACTAATTTCAGTTACATCTCGATGCCTAATTTAAAGTTGTATGGAACCGTTTGCTTACTTTTCTTAGTCCACATACCACGTATTTCTAAATGGTATGATGCATTTCTGTTTTATTGAGATGTCAAATAATTTTGTGAATGATACATTGAGAAATCTACCGTTTTTTCCCCCTTGGGCTTACCTCAACCAAATATTTTCGTCGCTGCGTCGATGAACTGGAAAACTGTAATAACGTCTGCCCTCTTGCCCTCTAATATATGAAGAGCTTCTCAAACGCGAGAGTGATTTTCTTCCGGGTGAAGAAGGTTGCATCGCGTGCATGAGTCTACAAGTCTACAAGATGCCTCCTCACCCAAGGTCGTTGCTTATCCATCTTCCTTTTAAAAATTTCGCCGAAAAAATCTTGCAATTCACTCCCCCTAGAGACCCCTGGCCTGACAACACCATCTGGTGGCTGGCTCCGGATCAACCCAACTCTCTGATCTTCTCTTCTCATACTTCAACCGAATGATTCAACCATCACCCCAACCGGCCATCATAAACCTCTACTGTACGGGGTGTCCCATAAGTTACTATACCATTTTAAAAAATTACATTTACTTAACAGTTGATGCAAAAAAGAATTAACATTAACTGAAAGATAGCATGTCATTTGAAATTATATTTGTGAAAGGTGAGACTTTTCTGAGTTCTTAAAATGCCTCAAAATGCCTTCTACCTATATCAATACATTTGGCATGAGGTTCGGCACCAAAAAATCGCCAGAACTCCCTTTGAACTCTGATGGGACTCTCAAAGACCTCCATCCAGGATACAACTTTTCTTCATTGCTCCAGCGTCAATTGCGAAGCCTTTTCCCATGACCGTGAGTGCAAATTAAATTAAATAGATTTTTTTTTCTGCTGCTCAAGTCTATTTGAAATTAAAAGGTTAGAAAAACATAAAGTTTAGCAATTTTGTAGGAGAGCTTTCAACAAGATGTACCAAAAATGTCCCTAAACAAGTACACCTTTCTAATATGCATTTGAAGCTGTTTCCATTTGAGTCTTCTTCAGAGTCATTATCAAGAAAAAAATTACGAAGAACAGTCATTCAACCAATACCAACAACAGTGACCTGCATGTTGCAGTTTGGAAAATATTGCAATTTGAAATGGTATTGTGACTTATGGGACATCCTGTGTATTCCTATCTGTAAATTCCACTTCATTCCACCTCATATCCTTATCTGCAAAGGGCATGCCTTGTAAATAAAGGTCATTGATAATTTTTTTTTAAATCTTGCCGGAAATGTTAGATGAGGGGGATTGAGAATGCAAAGGACAAATTCTTTTGCGTTGGCATTCAAGGATGATGCCCCAAAGCGACGTCCTTTTCCGCTGACCTGTCCCTCTATGTCGAATTTTGACTTCGGCATTCCCGAAATCATCCAAAGTGGAGAGATATTTCTCATCGTCCCAGTCGGCATTAAAGGACAAAACTCCGTCGGTATTCCAGGGGCTTCTCGAAAGGAAGAAGCGATGAGAAAACTCGCGAGTTACAAAGAGCAATCAGTGAAAATTATTCCCAACTGCCTAGCCAGATTTTTTATGAAGAGACCGAATGGGATCTGGCGTTTTCGCTGCAGCAGTGAAGTAGGTGGCGAAAAGCGAATCGGAGGAGCACGCGGTAGCATCTTTTCAAGCCGATGGGTGTATCAGTCGTATTTCAATGCTTACTCTTCGTTGAGTACAACATGGGATGTTTCCCTTCGATACCCGAAGTCATACAATGCGAAGCATCGATATCCTTCCGCAATTTTCTTTTGAAGTGCATCGCTCCTTCTGCTATTCCGGCTTCGGGCCTGTCCCCGAAAGGAACTATTAGGATATCTGCGGATCTCGCACGCCTCGTCCTGGAGCATTTAATTATATTCGCGGCGTTACATTTAGCTATATGGTACTGGAGATCGCGGGGCATCGCGGCCTTATCCATTTCTCTTTATTATTATTTATCCTGGAATTATTGAACAATAGTCGTGTGACAATGCCATTAGGCGAATTTCTGCAGGATTTCATTAGTGTTGTCTATTGAAGACCATAGCTCAGGAGTCTTCAAACCCCCCCGTCCAGAACTACTATTTGAATAGTAAAACGAAAAGTACTTTCATGCTCCTCCTAAAGCCAACAACCCCCCCACCCTCCCTTAATATATTGTGGAGACGAAGGCAATCCAAAAACTCCAACCAGCTCTGCTAATGGCATTCGTTACGTTCGATGCAGACTGTTACGATCGCAGTCGTTTTGAGAAAATTACCGTCTCCTCATGTTTTCTATTCGGCTCAGTACCCTGGATTCTTGGAGACGTAGAATCGAGGAAAACGGTTACGATGACGAATGAAGTTTAATCCGAATTCAGGCCAGAAGCCGCCGATAGCTACATCATTACAAGAACCAACGCGTATCTTCTCCAATAAAATGCAGCGAATCACATAAATAAAGTCACAACAGTTGATCGCGACCGTCCTCTCACACAAAAGTGCCGTCACTGGGAGCAAGGACAAAGTCGGCACCTCGCCTTCGGCCTCGGCCCGATCTGCTCACTCGCGAACGAGAGAAAGACTTGCTCCAGACTCGTCTCCCCGACCAGCGAATCCTCGACGACCGCCGGGAATCTCGCCTTCATCTCGCTGGCCGCCGAAAAGAGCTGGGCCCACGTTACATTCACGTTCAGGACTCGGAAGTTCAGCAGTCCCTGGAGAATAAATGTTTTCTCTCTGATCCGAACTCGTTTAAACAAACCCCCTTCTTTCACCGAATCGATATCTCTACCCATCACCAGCTGCACATCTATATGCCAATTTCGGTGACAACAGAATGAACTTAATGTATATGTTCACGGCGTGGGAGATCTCTCATACAATCAGTTATTCTTTATCTTGTCCCTATGTTTCAAAAATAAAATCCATACATCCCACAGTCTTACTAATCCATAGTTCCATCACGATCAGTCTGCAAAAACTCGTAATTAGTATTTGACCGACGACGAGAAAAAGTATACTCCATGCTCTACATTATGCAATCCATCAATTTATATTGCTAATGATTCCCTTAGGCGTACCATATATTCATCTTGTAGGTAGGTTCCAGGGACGGCGTGAGTGAGGAAGGCCTTCAGATATGCAATATCCTCCGCCGTCGCGGATATCGCGGTCTTCACCTTGATGGAGTATCCTTGACAGAACTTGTCCTTGAGGTACTGCGGGTTGCCCAGGCAACGGAACCGGCCGTTCACCATGATACCGAGTCGGTGGCACAGGGACTCGCACTCCTCCATGCTGATAACGATTTCGTTCTCGTGATTGTCCGGAGGCGTCGATCGAGGTATTCGAATGGCACAATTAGAAGTCTCCAGAAGGGAATGAAATTAGGCACGGTTGCTAAAAAAAAAAATTACTTGTTTCCCTTCCATTATTAACTCCCTAATTCGAGAAAAATCAGGTTAAGTATGAGAATGTAATTCCAGAAATGTGACATTTCCACCAATCGGAGTGTATGTGCTAGATGAATTGAAGAGAGGTATTTTTTCTCTTTGCTGACTATCGCAAAAGAAGCTCAGAACAGCTAAATTTGTGCCTTAAAAGCAAAGTATCTGAGTGCTTCCGAGCACGTGCTTGAATGTCTCGAGACAGCAGAGACTGAGCCCACGCAGTACCTGTGTGATGTGAGAACAATGCTCTGTCCGTTCTTTGTGCAGTCGGTGAGCGCCTGCCAGATGTTGCGCCTGGAAACAGGATCCACTCCTGAGGTCGGCTCGTCCAGGAACAACAGGGTCGGCTCTCCTACCATTGCGACTGCCGTGCTCAACTTTCTTTTGTTCCCTCCGCTGTACGTCCCGCAGTACTTCTCCTTGTACTCCGCTAATCCTGTCAACATGCATTCGCGGAATTTCCTGAAATTTCAATCTGGATCGAGCTTTCCTAATCAGCGAATCGGAATCTGGAGCTTCTCTTGGCCTTCAAGAGGATTGAATCATCGCAATGCGATCCGATTCGGCCACGAAACGTCGTCCATACCGAGTTTGTCGATGAGGGCGTCGACGTGCGGCCCGATCGAGGATTCCGGAATGCCTCGAAGCCGAGCATACATCCACAGAGTCTCCCTCCCGGTCATGACGTCCACCAGGGCATCGAATTGAGGGCAGTAGCCGACGTGGTATAGATACTGCAGGCATAGCAATATTCAGAAATGATCATCACTGGAACAAAAATGGGTAAAAATGAATGAGAAAAAGGTGGAACCTTGCTCCGTTGTTTTTTGAGATCGTATCCCTGGTTGTAGGAAACTCCCTTAGTCAAGAGTTCGGCTCCGGTCAACATCTTGAAAGTGGTCGTTTTCCCTGCCCCATTCACGCCCAAAAGGCCAAAGCATTCTCCTTGGTGGACTCCTATGTTCAGGTGATCCACGGCAACGAAGCTATTGAATGATTTCCTCAGTCCCACCGCCAGCAGGGCGTCCTTCTCCGTCTCTCCTGCAGACGACGAAATTGACCGCATATGAGGTTTCCCGACCATAACTTAAGAAATGAAAGCGACATTCATGGAAACATTTTAACATTTCCTGCGCGATGAGCCCTTTAAAGATATCGTCTCCGAGACACGAGACATTACCTGCAGACGGATGCATAGGCAAAGCAACGTGATCTCGTGCGGATGGCAAATAGTGTACGTGGCCCCGACGCAATTCCTGCATTACGTCATTAAATGAATTGGATCAAACATGAGAGAGAGAATCCCAATCTAAATCTGAAACTAATTATTAAAGCACCGCCGCGAGCTTCGAGAGTTATCAGACTCAGATCGGAATCGGCTCATTTCCTCCTGATTCCTCCATCATTATCTTTATTGCATTTTTCACTTTTCCTGCCCTTTTCTCGCTAATCGCATTCATCATAGAGTCAAAAAAGCTTAATCCTTTCGCTGCTGAGTTTTTGATGAGCGACAGAATTAGATTGCTAGATTGTTTTCTTGAGTGCATAGGTCACATCACAGCAAAAGGTCGCATGGAGTAGAATGTAGGTAGAGAATACAATTTATATTCCTTTTCCTTACTATATTCTGAGATCGAGTATACTTTGAAATCGAGAATAGCTAGTGACACGATTTTCAGCAATCGAGTTGACTCGATCGTCGCGGTAAAAGGGTTGAAATAAAAATGAGATTTTCTCCAGAATACGGTTTTCGTTAAGTTCCATATAAGTATGCCATAAAAAAAAAACCTGAATGGTGGGGTATCCCCGGCTTGGAAAGAGAAAATCATCCGGAATCCTGAGTTCCATTTGAGGCAGAGCTACCCATGACCCTCCTCTGAATTCGCGTCCTAGCAGGAACCCCCTTCCTGCTAGGACGCGACAGGGATGAGACAGGGTCATAGGGATGTGTGAGACGGGAGCCAAGAAGGCCCAGACTGCCTCGGGGCGAATGATCTGCTCGAGCGAGCGTCGTCTCCTTTCCTTGTCTGCACTGTTTGTTCTTATCTTTCTTGGAAACTTCAACACGTTGAAGAATCCTTTCAAGAACATTGGGATCTCATGGAAATGGCTTGTGGGGACGGTGCGATATTTTTAGAGGTCACATCGATGGTTTCCTATGAATTTTATTTTCATTTCTCAGACCTATGGATAAGTTTGAAGGAAAAAATTCCCCTTTCATTTGCTTTTCTTCATCGCTCTATAATAGGATCATCTATTGAAGCGTATTGATAACAACTGAGCCATCATTTGCTAATGGTAAGATCCCTTCATCACCGCACTTACTCGAATTTTGCCATTTCTCCATGTCGTACTGTTAAGAAAGTGTGGAAATTTCAGGAAAAGCAACCTCTTCGAAGAAGCTGATTGATCCGTTCCTCCTCGCTTTGGACGTCCTCGTCCACTCGAACGTTTCTGTTGACGTTCGGCGGCTCGAACGAGAAGAGCCGGGCCCAGACCCTCTGGGGAAGGCGATATTCCAGGAGAAGGAGGAAGGCGAACCAAAAGAGCCCCGAATAGACCATCATGATGAGGGATTCCGCAATGTTCAGCCCTTCCAACTTGATGTAGGACACCGGCTTGAAGCAGCCGTGCTCAAGTTTCTCGCAGTTGTCTGTAGAGTGAAATCATACATGAACATTTCAGAACGCGAATGGTATTCCATCTGTGCATGCCCGGAGCCCATGGTGAACACGGAAATGGAATCAGTTCATTTTCCCCTACTGTCTGCTTCTCTCTCTCGAGAAAAGTGGTGCAAAAACCTAGCGCATAATTTCGTCTAAATTTTGCGGTGATTTTACATGTAGTGCTAGAATTTATTCATTGACAGCTATACAGAGAGGCATGCACATACCTAGATAGGTCAAAAGACTGAGAATTCAAGAGAATCATCGTACTCATCATCCAGACTTCAAACACCGCACTCAAAATTAAATCTTCCTGGATCATCATAAACAAGTTCTAATTCAAGTTCCTGTTGCACCTTGATTCGGAAACGGAATTAAGACGCAACTATAAATCAAACTCCAAGGAAGTGCAACATGGAAATGACATTTTAGTCTCGGAAATAGTCTAAGGAAGCCACTGACCGCAGCAGACAGAAAGAGAGGACTCGGAGAAGCCATTTCCTGCGGAGCACACGAAGTCTTTGACGGAATCTTCGATGAGTTCGCACCGCCGGTTCTTGTACGCCAGGTCTGTGAGGCGTAACATGCCATACGGAAAAGAAAAGGAAGGGAAGAAACCCAGGAACCACTTCCCGATCTTTGTCGCCTCTCTCAATTTGGTACTGCCGGTCAGATCTTCCATCACCAGGGTCGGCAAGAAGGGGATCCCTGAAAGAATTGCGATGGGAATGACGTTAACATCAGGAAATGAGTATCTCCAACCAAAATAAAAAAGAGGTGTAGATATACCGAAAAAGACGCTGATGAGGGCATGGATGGCGAACGCCGTCCCCCTGTTCTTAAATCGGAAGCTGATGACGTAGGCGAACGGAAGAGAGGCGAAGCCGTACAGCACCAGCAGTAAAAACAGGGAACCTGATCCAAGAGTCATATTTTAAAGCAGTCACTTCTGCATGCAGTTTAAGGAAAATAAAACGTCAGTGTATATTAATCGCAGTCTGCCTATCATGCCGGAACATCATGCATTCTCATTTCGAAATTAATTTTTTATATATTTGCTTCACAAAACTTCCAATGGAATGCCATTGTAATAACGTCCTAAAGAACGCCTCACGCAGTAAGATCGCGTGGCTTCTCTTCATGGCAAGATGATGACGAGAGCAAAATAAAGTCTTTCTCTGGTATTTCTCTCTTCCTTCACCTAAATTTGAGAAGGGTCATTTAAAAAAAATACAAATCGAAATTGGAGAACAAAGAAAACGTTCAGGCTTATCTGCACATCTGTTGAGTGCATCTTTCTTGCGTTCTATCAGGATTCACTGAAAGGTGAGATGTCGGTGAAGAAATGCCTTTCTGTCGCTTTGCCACAGCGGCCGATGGTTTTCAGTTGTGTGCAGCACACTTGAGTCTGACAAACGTTCCATCGAAAGCGAAATTCTTGCGGGAAGGAGGCGGCTCAAAAATCCATTCAAAAATTTTCTTTCTTTTATCGTGGGGCCATTGCTGGGGAAGGTTCCGAAAACCGGCGTGAGATGGAGCCAAAGTAGTCGTAGTAGAGAGTCACTTCCTGGATTCTACTGAAATGAGCCCCCAGTCCCTTTGACACAGTTCCCTATGATTTCTCACATAGATCTCAGAGGAAGACAATTGAATTCTTTGAAACGTTTCTCTGATGTAACTTAACCTTGGAATAAACCAGGAAATTCCGGCCCGGGAGGTCCGTGGGAGGAGCCTACTTTCCACTAAATGCAAGTGACCCTTCTCAATATACACATTTTGTTAAGTCAAATTATGCGTAAGGTATGTCAAGTCTGAAGGAGAACAGATACCCTTGCATTCCCATGCGATTCCGCTCCTGGATGCCTTAGTATCCAGACGGATGTCAATTGAGGTACCCGTGTAAAGTACTGAGCCACACATTGGGGAGTCAAAGAATGCATTCTCATCTCTCCAAGGTGCATAATGCTGTAGATGCAGTTGTTCTTTCTTCCCTGTATCTATTCACCACTGTGGAAGGTCGGCTTATGATTGGGGCATGCGCTGTTTCCCGACAATGAACCAAAGTTGGCCCAATAAAGGACCAACAGGAAATGCCCGACCATAAGCCGGCTTAAACCAACCATATTTCAGTGATGGCTCAACTTAGGCATATATATGCGCGTCGACGAAAAGCCATCGATTACCCGATGAAACATTTTTGACAGGGCGTATGCCGGTTCTGGAGTCAAGCGAACGAGAATCTTTCAATCAGCCAGTAGCAGCTAGCTTCACACAAAGCTGTGCAGCAAAGAAATGCACGCGTTGGGAGGCCGCGAAACAAAAAGAAAGTGCGAGATTTCTGTTCCATGCTTAGGAGACAAATCGGCGTAGAGACGCTGAGAGTTAAAGCTGGTAACAAAAGCTTTTCCTGATACATCTCCGACGGAAATTTTTACTACGTGGGAAAAAGGTGAAATGGATCAAGAAAAAAAGAAAACTACGCTTGTCCGACGCGTGACTTTTCATTTTTTTTAAACTGGGAATTATGGGATCCGGACTTTCGAAGTTTCCAAGTTCTCTGTGAACACACAAAATCATAACTCTCAGAGGCCAGAATAAAGAGACAAGAAATGCTCCTCTGCCTCGAACCGTAACATTTGCGTCCTCTTGCATTCCATTTCAAATATCCTTCGACTACCTTCCACTACCTGAGCTCAATGAAATCACAAGCTTACCGAGAGAGCCGTAATTGTCTGCAAAGATGCCGTTGGTGTCGATCCCGGCCATGATCCCGATGATGACAGCGGTTATGAGCAGGTAGACGACGCCGTCCCCGACCAAGTGAGAGACCCAATACAGCTCCGGTCGCACCTGCTCCCATCCCATTCCGTTACTCGACGACACGCCCGACAAAGACCGAGCATCGGATCGGAACTGACCCCTGTCATGAGCTGCAGCTGCTTAGCGGAGGATCCGTTCTCCTCGGCGGGAAACACGACGAAGGTGCATGCGAGGAGCATCATCCCCAGACCCACGATGTAGGCGTAAGTGAAGGACGAATTCATGTAGGCCAGCCACATCCCATCTTCCGTCGATTGGAGATTCATGAAGCTTTCCTACAAGAAAACACCACAAATTCCATCATCGTCTGCTTCGGATCCCCTTTTAGTCATACCTTCGGTTCGAAATCGATGCGAGTTCTGACCATCAATCCCATTTGGCTCTCGTAGGGGTGGTTGAAAGCGACGATAGAATGTCCCGGCCCGAGGAGGAACTTGGCCACGGCGTCGCTCATATGATTCACGGCGATCCCGCTGCTGTGCAATGGGATCGTCTGGTAGTAGGCAGTGAAGGCGGGGAGTTTCCTGCCTTGAGTTCGATTTTCTGCCAAGGATCCGCCGATGACGTATCGGACTCGGTATTCCGACTCATCCTTTGACCCGATACTCAGCAAGTACTGGATGAAGTCCTCCTCGCTTGGGTCCTATCCGACGAAATCAGCAAGAAGCATCGCAATCAAGACTCGTGAATAGTCGAACGCAAATCACAAGAACTGTGTCGAATGCGAGGCTTGGAAGGAGTTACCATCGTTTGAGACGTGCTGGAATCTGGCAGTCCCTCGAGAAAACTGTTCATGAGATTTTCATTAAGATCTTGTTTGATTTCGTACGGGACAAAGTTCTTTCCGTAGACATCAACGTTCATGTTCAGCGCGGGGGGATCTGCATTTCCTCCGGTTTGGGCTCGGTCGATGAGGAGAGCCCCAACGACCATGGCGAGAGGCAAGATGAACTATAAGACCAGCGGGAAAAAGCCTCATGTTAACCCGAAATGTCAAACGAGTCAATGGGAAGTCGATTTCTTGCCTGGCTCATGATAAGCATCCTCTTCCGATAGATGTAGAGGAACTTTTTGATGAGAAGAGCCCAAAATTGTCGGAAGAAGACGGTAGCACTGCTCTTCATTTTTTCCGTCCTGATCATACCTATCAAAAGGAGAAACAGAAGGAAAAAACTGTCGCAAAACGAGAATGCAAGAATGTACACAATGCTTCAGAAACCGATTCGTGCATTTATAAACACTCGCCATTCCACTCCGGGAGACAACACTGTCGACATTTTAAACTTCCAGCTCACAGAATGTCGTAGTATGTAGGATAAAGGGTTCTCACTCGAGGTGGTGGCACGAGAGGTCCCACTGGCATCCGCGATGGGACGAGTCTTCCTCGCGTCTCCATCCTCGATGTCTGCTCCCTCTCCCACTCTAACAAAGAAAAGCGGACGCCTTTCGTTCACTCACTATCGATCGATTTTTGTCGCCAGGTGGGAGGTGCGGACCTCAGGAAGACTTCTTCGAATGTGGTGGCGGAGATGCCGAAGCTTCGGATGCCGAGTTCAGCCTTGGCCCTGTCGAGGGATTCAAGGACGGAAGGGAAAACCTGCGTGCTGGATGAGGGCAGCATGTAGCTCGCTTCGCTCCCTGCGTTGCTCTTAAGAGTTGCTTCCGGGCAGAACTTTTGCAAAAGGGACAGGAGTCCCCCTTCCGCGAATCCCGGCGTCTTCGTCACCGTTAACGTATAACCGGTCCCTGCATTCAAAAGTACAGGATTGCTACGAAGGAACTATGCGACGTTGATGGTCATAGCTGTGAAAAAGACTTAGTGCCTATCGATAGACACGAGTCAATCACGATTGTCTTCGGAACAAAAAAAAAATAGATAAAATTTCAAGATTGTATGATGAGAACATACAAAGGAAACCTGACAAACCATAATGGCAAGGGGAAGCTGTGGCGAAGAACGGAGGTTGTGTATTTCATTAATAACACTAGTTTTCCTCTCTACTGAGTTCTCTGAGTTCTTGAGTTTTCCCAAATCGATCGATCGATTTGGGAAATCTCAAGACCAATCGAGTTCGATTGATTATTTTTTTTAGGAGGATGAAACTAAGTCTCAGGAAGCATCAAGTCGCATTTTATTTTGGAGGCACTGATGATCGCTGATCTAGAATCGAAGGCGACCCTGAACAGGTTGCAACCTCGAATACCGATATTATTCGTCGTAACGTAACGTAACGTGAGGGCAGCTCAGAGCCTCGCTTTCGTCCAGGCGAGTGCGCGGCATGATTCATGGTAAAACTTGCCCTTGTCATCTGTACTAACAGACCTCGATCAAATGGTCGATAAAGACGGCAAAATTGTCTTCAGTGATGTCGTCTCGCCATGGTCCTAAAATTAAACACTCAACAATGGCGCCAGAGAGAAGTGTCTCGAGGGAAGAAGCAAAGGAAACCGGCATCATCGGTTGTCTTTCCATGGTCACCTTTAAGAGTCCTGGAGGATTCACCTCCCCTCATATGTTTCTTCAGAGATTAGTGGAATCCCTACCAACTAATAAGAGGCCAAATTTTCTCCATCTAACATCCTTGAAACTCCATTTCATGTCACACTGCAACAAGTCTGAGTAAAAATTTTCATCGACATCGCTCAAGTCCTTATTGATATTGCTCCTTTTTTTTTTACTATACTAATTCTTCTAGGACTTATAACAATTTTTTTTTCACATGGAAAGTACCGTATTGTCGCTTGAGGAACATGGAGGATCCGACGCATTGCAGATGACCGTGGGCCATGATGGCGATGCGATCGCCCAGCACATCCGCTTCCTCCATGAAGTGGGTCGTCAGCAGAATCGTACGATCTCGTTTCTCCTCCTGCGCGGAGCGAAATTGAGTTGAAATTTCTTGTAATGGACTTCATGGCGGTGAATGAACAAGGCCTTTGTGTACCTGGAGGATTGTCCAGACGACTCGGCGAGCCTCGGGGTCGAGACCGGATGATGGTTCGTCCAGAATCACCACCTTCACAATGGGAACCGTATATATTATAATATAATCCAAGTATAATTTTATCATTTTTCTAGCTGTTATAGTTTAGGCTGTGGAGAGGGGCGAAGGGCTATGTGCAACACCCCCTGCACCATTGCTGGTAAATCTATTCCTCTTTCAAAATCTCTTTCAAAATCATACTAAGCTTACAAGTTCATAATCGATCCATCCTCCGCTTCATTGCTTTGATATATCAAATAGGAAGCAAAAGGGCGTCATAGGGCCTCAGGTTTAGACGGCGATATTTCTTTATGGCATGTCTTGAGAAAATTCATATCGATATACAGTAGATGAAGCTTACTTTTGCAATTACCTGCATTTATCCAGGGAACCCACAGTAAAATCTCTCCAGAAAGAGGTGGTCAATACGTATCATTTGAATGTCATCCATAACCATGAAGTTTTTCTCAGTTTTGATGCACGATTCACAAGAAATCTTAATTGGCTAATGGAGTCCTCAGATGCGGGTTTGATTTAAATGGGCCTGATGATCTTGGGGTACATTTCTACTCGAACCCCAAAAATTGCATGGTGAAAAACCTCTTTGGAAGGTGTCTCTCTCCCACACTCCAGCATGAGACTCATATTCATTTTTCTCACTTATCCATTATTCACGAGAAAACAAAAGGACGATGCCGTGAGTAAAGTTCAATGTTTCTGGGAAAAAAATAACAAAACAGATAAAACTACAATACAGTAGCGTCCGAGCAACAATAACGAGCGGAGATATGAAAGAGCCACATTTTCAATGCCAAACTGCGACACATATCTCTTACACTAACGTGATCTTCGATTTATTATTACCGTGCCAGGAAATTGCTTGTAATAAACAACATGTGGCACCATTCACAGTCTTGTCTAAAGAGTGAGCATGCGGATAAAAAAAAGAAAACACACCTTAGTCTTGCCGATCAGGGCGATGATGAGCGAAAGTTTTCTCTTCATCCCTCCGGAAAGAGTACGAGCCTGACGATTCAGAGGTAAAGACAAGCGCGCGGCGTATTCTTGACCGATGTTCAAGGATTCCCTTCTTGTGAGTCCTTTCAGCTGCAACGAGTATAGTTTGGGAGTGAAAGCAACTGAATTCTTCTGGGAGAGACAGGATCGGAAGGAGAACTGAACCTGGCCGAAGAGCATGATGTGTTCCTGAACCGTGAGTTCGGGGAAGAGCATGCTGTGTTGTGGGCATAAACCCAGGCTGCCTCGGACCTTGTCCATGTTATGACGGATGTCGTAGCCGTTCACGATCGCAGTGCCTCCCGTTGCTGAATACAACCCTATGCAACCGTTCAATGCATTAGTAAGACTGCCGGAAATGTTTGTGCAGCACGTTTGAGAAGTTGCGAAAGAATTACACAGGGTGGGGCATAATACACCATACCAAAAAAGAGCGATGAAGAGGTAGAGGACGGGACGATCCCTTCCATCTTTCCTCGAGCGTCCTATCGAAACTCCCACCTCACACAGCACAGGTATATCCCAAAGAAGTCCAAGAGATATCCCCTTGGGACAAGTGCGATGTCCAGAGACAACGAGTGGGGACATTTTAAGGGTATCAAAATGTCTGGGCCCAATGACATCCCAAGGATTTCCTTTCTTGAAGAACTGAAGGGACAAGTGAGAAGTCTCATGTATCATTTGCGGGTGCCTTCCTTTCTGCAATGGACTCATTTCCTACCACCCAGGACAACCCATTACTTTCGTAGATGCCTCTATTTGATCTTCTAGGAATACCTAATCTGAAGTTCTTGACCAATTGAAGAGTGACGATTAAGAGGGAGAAAAATTATGTTCCAGAAGAATCCCAATGTAGGAGACTCATCTCCAAGGGATAAAATTTAGCTCTCTCACACGAGAAGTCATGAATGAGGACCTTTTGGCCATGGAAACGTGTGGGCCCAGGTCTCCAACCAAGACATGCCGATCAGACATCACTAATGAGAATATGAAGTAATGGGAAAACCAATTTTCAATAGGTTTCCCTTTCTTCAACCCTCCCCCCCTCCTCCCTCTACGAGACTCACTAACGTTGGGCCTAGGCCTAACCAACAGACCACCTTCAGGTCACGCCGAGACCTACCTTTTTATTTTCAATAAAACTCAATTCTCGACTTACGGCGCCAATTAGGCCTAGAAGGCGAATCGTGGTCTTCGAGACATTTGATTGAGGACGTGTAACATTAGGCCAAACGCAGGCCTATTCATACGCTCATGAACCATTTCAGTGGGACGTGGAACGTTAGGCTGATCTGGAGTTCCTCGAACCATCTCGAATAGGTCTTAGGGGAGAATGCCTTCAAGAAGCATGGAATCCATGGTACGCGCCATCCTGTTAATTCAGGAATGTTCGGAGAAGATATCTGCATATCCCACCACATTGCTAACTATATCGCTTCATTCTAAGCTCAGCTCATGAACTCAGCGCCAAAACGTCTCATAAATTAAAAAACAAGATCCAGACGCCAATACGAAGGTTGAAACAGTCTTGAGTCTGAAATAATTTCGGCACTGTTTCCGGCAACACTGGGAGACGATACCGGAGTTAGCACTCCAAGCCTAATTGAACGCCAGCGAATTTCATTTTTTTAAATGGCGAAATAGAGCATCGCAAACAACAAAAAATGCCACTTTTCGTCATCTACGAATCAATATCCTTCTTATGGTTGGTCTCTTTCCTCTGAAACAACCCCCCCCCCCCCCCCAGGGGGGGCTACCCAGGGGGGGGGGGGGGGGGGGGAAAAAAAAAATCTTTCCCCTAAAACACCCCCCCCCCCCCCCCCCCAGGAGTGGCTACCCAGGGGGGAGGGGGGATGGGAGAAAAAAAAAACGGAATGAAATTCACATCCTCCAAAAACGAGATTGAGAGTTCTCCACAACCCCGAGGAGATGGAGCTTCAAATTTGCTGGAGTGATTCTGTGTTGAGAGAGGAAGAAGTGCGCCAAATTTCGTTCCTGTTGATACTCTCAGAGAGGAATACGAGGAGGTTGAATTTTCCTGCGGGAAGGGGTTGAAGAAAGGTAATAGGCGCTACTGCACTTATACTGTAGATAACGGACTATATTGAAATTCGGACCGCAATTTTTTCACATTTCCAGGTAGCACTTTTCCTGAAGTACGGTACGAAAATCCTCACTTATCCTCAGGACTAATCAGGCAGATAAATTTGATGAGAAAGATCTGAGCCCATTGGAGACATCTACCGTTGATGGTATGCACTGACTGAAGTCGAAAAGAGCACTGAAGATGCCTAAAGACAACCCTAAGATGTCCCGATGACACTCCTCAAAATATTGACTAGCGTTCGACTGTAGATGGCTTCAAGATATCCTCAACAGGATGTCCAGAAGCATTCGACTAAGGATGTCTTAAAGATATCCCGAAAGGGACATACCTATGATATCGACTGAAGATGTCTAAAAGACGTCTCTAAGATGTCCCGAAGACATCCCTTACGAGATGTCCGAAACCTCCGAAAGATGTCTTCGGGATATCCTATAAAGACCATGGGACAAATCATCCAGGTGGGGACAACCCTGGGATATCACCGTGTTGTGTGGGACATGAGTCATCATGTGTTATACTCTAAATCAAGGGGAACAAAAGACCTTCCAACCATGAGGAAATCGTCGTGATCGGTGCACGGAATTTCGAGCAAAGAACGAGGAACGACAGGGCAATATCCACTCAAGCTCGGGAAGAGCACTTATTTTTATTTCTTGGAATGGTGTATTAGACCTCCTCCCTCTTACGAAAAGATGAACAACATCTGATGGTAATTTTAGGCACACCGTGACTAAATGACATCTCGCGAACAGAGACACAATCAGTATTCTTATGCCCCCATTTGCTTGACGGAGAGCATCCTGTCTATTCCGGCAAGATCCTGAAGACTTACTTCAAGTCCTTATAACACCTCTTCCAAAGGGAACAACAACTTTACCCATGAGAATCGACCATTTGTCTCAGCTTGGTCTTTCACAATAGCCTCCAGGTTTTTTCAGATCTTATGGTTGGTGGGTTCCCTTGCAAGTCTGCGCTGTCAAAAAAGTCGATCGGATTTTTCTTTGCAGCAATTCTTGAATATCCAGAGCCTTGTAACAAGGTGCATTGTCATGCTGACCATGTGACGTTGCTGTTGCTGTTGCTGTTGCTATTGCTGTTGCCAGAATGTTCTAAGAGCCTCCCGAACGTTGATTTTCACGAGCAAAGTTCCTGATCCATCTGGAAGAGGTATTGTAAGAACTTGAATAAAAATGTTGTCTCTTCAGGACTTTGCTGGAATCCTACTCTGGCAGACTCTGCCGTCCCTCAAAGAAATGGGGGTCAAACAATATTGATTGCGTGCCTATGTTCTTAAGCTATCATTTAGTCACGGTGTGTCTCAAGTTTCCATTAGATGCTACTCATATTTTCTGCCTAATACAGTATTACGCCCCACTTCTTACATGACAATAGACTAAATTAGTTTTACCATTTCACAGCGCAGGTCCAAAGACATTAATTGCGAAACGAGTTCCAGGGTTTGCCCTTTCTCTTGTTTCTCTCTGCTCAGTCATGCGTCACGAATGTCTTATCTGTTGAAGCTTCTGGCTTTCCATTTGCAGAATAACATGGAATTGCTTTCGGGAAAATCTTATCTTAGTTTATCTCGACGTTGACTTTTAGATAGCGGCGATCGCCAGACGTCATATCGGCGGCTAGCGATAACATTCTGTGACCTAATATTGGCAGTTTTCCAAGCCGGGTACACGCTGTATTTCTAGTAGCTGAATGGTTACTACCAATCGCGTCTCAGAAATACTTCTAATTACATCGACTCTGCTCTTTGAAGCAATAGTTTACCTGCAAGTTCTATATTAGCAGTTATTAATGACAATGACAATGACAATTCCTCGCAAACATGCAAACGTATGCAAGGTTACAATTGAACAAGCAAGCATGTTCAATTTTTTAAATATACTTTTTTATGCTGGGTTTTTCTCGAGCCTTTTTTGTTTCTCTCGAACTCTCTGCTTTTTGAAATTTGTTTGCAACATCCCACGCTCTAATTTGTCAAATGAAGCACAAAAAACTTCTTGAAATGAATTTCCTCAGCTGCTCACACACTCGGCGCCTCATTTGAAGCCCCGACCTCATAAGTAGCGTTGGAACTTCTTGAACCTTCCTCCAGTAAGATGTGCAGCAAGGCATACCATCCCGAGTAGCACATAACATTGAATCAACATTGATTCAATTATATGTGCTACTAGGGATAAGGGAGAGCGGTTTCAATTGAAAAGCGTATAATACAATGATGTAGCTCCTGATACATGACTGAGAGCTCCCAACCTCGTTCGAACAGCAGATTTTATCTACAATATCTCGGCAACCTGTACTCCACTGTATCATGGGTGCAGTTCAGTAGTTTTGAAGCATTGTATTATAGTCATATAGTTCCGCTGCCTCCATAAATGAGTATAGCCATGCTATGAAAGCTTCATAATTTACGAAGTTATGGCATCATGAAGTTGGTACAAGATATAGGGAAAAAATCTGAAAAGGTATGGTGTAGATGGCTGATAAATCATCTCTTTCCTTTGATTCTGAGTCGGCCATGCCCACAGACGGTTGAAACGAAACAAAAGCTCTCAATCATCCAGCCTTCCGTTTCCCTCAGATCACCCATGAGCCACGGGTCATAAACCCTACCGGTTATGATCGACATTGTGGTGGTTTTGCCAGCGCCATTGTGACCCAAGAGGACCGTGATGTCTCCCTCGCAGGCTGACAGAGATAGACCATCCACGGCGACCTTCGGGCCCTTGTTCGTCCGGAAAACTTTCTTCAAGTTTCTGATCTCGATCCCGGCCTTCAGGTATCGGAGATCCTCCTCGAAAAACCTGCTCTTTCGATTCCATGAACTCCGTCTCTCCAGCTCTTCCCCGTCACTTATTGCTTTTCGCCTCGGGCACCAAAACGATGGCTATGTGGGAAGGAAAGACATGTGATACTTTTCGCAGGGACGTGACCGTTTCAGCTGTCTGCGCATTTAAATTCTCAGGGGTGAAAATTTAGACTCATTTAGCCCGTTAGACTCCAAATATTAGGATCTTCGCATCACCGAATCGAGGATTGAGTGCGACTACCTATTGTTCCGATCCAGAGCCAACAAGCAGGAAAGACAAAAAAAAAGACAAAGTGATGCAACCGTGGAATATAACCCTTCACGCGAATTTCACACGACCACGTTCTGGAATAATTTATTTCTGAATTTACTGAATTTGAAATTTATTTTTTTTTGTCGACTATGATTTTACTGGCGGTACAGGGTCATTCGAAAATTGCGAGGATAGTCCTTAATTGTGAAACTGCTTGGGAGTAATATGACCGATGTTACTTTCTCAATTTCCAGGTTATTTAAGCACTGACGTTATTTTTATATCTCACGAGGGCTGAGGAATTTTAAGGCGAATGGTGAAGAAAGAATATTGATATCTATCACGAGAGTGCAATGAATGACTGCGATCAAGCGTCGACGCGAACTCTCTTCGTCATGAAAGAATAGTGAGATGTACGATTAGCTTCCTAAGAGTGCATGGGACACGATGCTTTTGAACGCATGATTACGTTGCAGGCCATTCTTACTCCCGAAAGTCCGCTCTCTTTACTTTTGGGCAGTGATCGATCGTCCATGAACTCTGTTTCGTGCCGGAGGGATATAACTAATCTGGGAGATATAAGTAATCTTGGGGATGTAGGCAATCTTTTGAATAGCATCAGCTTTATGCTTGGAGATGAGCTCTGATATCTTATTAATGAGTAAGGAATCGAATGTGAAAAAATACAATATACCATGTGAATGACATTTGTTAGTTTCCCTTCTGAGACGGTGTTTTTGCTACTTGAGAAAGCACAATATATAGTACAAGTAAATTATACATATACAGGGTGATTTTAAATCCATACATTTGCATATATCTCCGATTACACTCGCGGGAACAACATATAATTGGGCCCACGTGTAGACCTGATGTATCAGGTCAACGTATTACAAGAGATGTTGGAAGTGCCTGCCATTTTGTGCTAAACACGCTTGAACCCGACGACACATGTTTTCGACATGAAGCATGTCCCGGGGGAATGTCAGCAATGAACTCGGTGATGGTGTCCTTTAGCTCTTCGATTAGGTGTGGATTGTTCACAAATGCCCGCTCCTTAAGCGTTTAGCACAGAATGGCAGGCACTTCCATCTCTTGTAACGCATTGCGACCTTACAGTATGCATCAGGTCTACACGTGGGCCCAATTATATGTTGTTCCCGCAAGTGTTACCGGAGATATATGCAAATGTATGGGTTCGACGACATTAAAATCACCCTGTACTATATATTCCTTACGTCAAATCCGTCTATAGAGTTGAAGTGTGAACGTGATTCGCCGAGACCTTGATGACTAATTGGGAAGAGAACTTTTTGCCTTGCAACTGACTTACTCGAATATTAACGGCTGGGCAAAAGTTCAAGTCTTTTTCATGAGTCTCACTTTCAGAAAGAAGTAGAACGGCTCGGCCAGGCCATATTTCCCCGGTCTGATGACGTCCATGTATCCGGTCAGAAGCAGATAGAGGACGGTGTCGACCAGCAGCATCACGAGGACGAATCCCACGGACACCTGGTCGGCGAACGGCTGATGTTGCAGGTTCGCCCATGTCAGTCCACCTCCTACGAAATCGTCATGGTTCATGTGTATAGGCTGGTCTTACTTTTTCTTTCTAGTTTCTAGTTACTGTTTTTTCTTTCTTTTGAGCAGGAGCCAGAACCTATGGCTCGTGAGCCAAAGTTTGGCTCACGAGTCATGGCTAAAAATCATGGTTGTTCCTCATTTTCTTCATATATCAAATGTCTGTTGTACGTGTCTGTTGCCAACCTCAGGAAAATTTTCGTTGTTTTGAAAATCTTTGGCTCATGAGCTCTTGGCTCAATCTTAATATGACTCACATGGCCAAAAAGGTCCCTGATCCCTGTTCTAGGGGTACGACGGTGCGCCGGAAGGAATGATTCCTAAAAGTAACATTATAGAAAAATTAAGTGAGGTAATTCATGGAGTTGTCCTATAATCCCATCATCCCACCATTAGTTGAAAGTGACTCAAGTTTGGAAATGCGCAAATGAACCCTTAAAATAAGGGCTAAAATTTAAGCTTTTACCTGCGGAGATATATTGATGTAGGAATGTGAAAACCAATTTCAATGGTTTACCTTTCTTCAACCTTAACCCAACCTCACCCTCACCCTCACCCTCACCCCCCCACCCCCCCCCACCCCCCCCCCCCCCCCCCCC